TTAAATAAGGCCTGTCTCGGAAATACACAAGGCATACACATGACTTTCATTGCTTGAGGCAGAACCACACTGTATACTTGGTAATGTCACATCAGTTGTAGTCGATAATGCTATATACTTTTTTTTCTCCTCTATTCATGTAAAATATAATGACAGTCATTTTTAACATCATAATGTACCAAAACAGATAATTTTAAAATAAATATCCTGCGACCTTTTTACTCAGATTTTTTTTTTGATCATGATCACATCCCCCTCAACCTCCCCCTCCCAATTCCGTCTCTAGTAACACTGTGCATGCAACCACCTGGCATTCTTTATCACATAAATTAATTAGACAGTCCACTTGAAGTGATTTATGTCGCTGATTTCACAGGTAGCACACTAATTACGAAATTGTTGTTATTTTCACCTTCTGTCATTAATTTTAAAGGCTATTTATAGCAAGTACTGTGGTCACTGGCTTACTACGTTCACAGAAGATGACATTTGCGAAAACAAGAAAGTCACTACCTTGTCTCGAGAAAAGTGCATGTCTATTTCATCCCGATTATAAAGTTAATACACAAGAGTTTAACAGAAAAAAAATTATAACTAAGCAAACTCAAACTTTTTTTTTTAAGTTCTACATAGAGAAATTATTTTCATTTTTTAAATACACCATGAAAACTCCTTCATGGCAAGTATACCAAAATATTTGTCCATGAGAAAATATATCAATCAACTTTACCTCTAGTAAAACCAATCTTTTAATTGATTTGCAATCAATGTAAATAAAATTGTTGTTTCAATCTCAATCTACTCAAATTTTACAAAACATTTGTTTTTACAATACAAGAAAAAGTTAGATTAAAATATTGGAATTTAACTTCGGTACGAGAATAAACCAACACAAAGTCTGTAAGAACAAATTATATATATTACGTAGTATATACTCAATAAACACAATTTGTCCAAAAGTCCCTATGAGGTCACCACCTAGACATAACGGTTTGCCCCTACTGGTAATAAAACCATATTTATCTCTTTTACCTAAACTACAAGGCTGAAAAGAGGCATGCATACACCTACTGTAATCCTTTAATTTTATATTTGAAGTTAATACTGAAATGAAGGTTATTCGGGAAAGAGACAACAGAAAACAATACGTATGTAGCACACTGTTCTCTGAACAATAAACACTACAAAAAAGGCCACCTACAAATACAAGTACAGATTTTGTTGCTATGACAATATAGAATCATTAAATTATAACACTTCACTTCATTTCTCTGACATTGACACTTCAATTGACATCTATTTTGGAAGAGTCTACAATCAGTGGGCATTTTACTTAGTAGTCCCGTTTATAGTCTGCACTTTCCTTTAGAAAATTGAGACAAAAATAGCCAATTTTTTCGTGTAAAAACTGAAAATTGACTCAAATTTTGTCTGTTAGTTTCAAAATTAGGGTTAATTTCCAGAAATATTGAAGAATTATAAGAAAAAAGTACAGGAAAATTTGGGCAAGAAAGTCTGGTGGGAAAAAGGTTAAGACAAAATTAACAATATAACCCTATATTAAAAACACCTTCTAAGAAGAAACTGTAAAATATTTTTATGTTATTGTGAGTGACAATTTTTTGCAAATTTTTCAATATTTGAAAATCACAACATTTTGTAACTGTAAACATTTCTCTGTAGCCCTATGACATGGTGAAATTTTGTCTTCATTAATGCCATAAAATCGCGAAAACTTCCAGCAGTGAAAATTAATCAGTTTACAGTACTTTCAAATACACTACTTAGTCAAATTAGTCAAGAAAAGAAATACTGTGAAATAATTTATTTTCGCTTGGAATTAATTTTCGCTGAAGGAATGAATTTTTCCGATATTTTACATTCAACTTCAACAAAATTAGTGAAAATAAATTCCATACAAAACACCCAAAATGTATTTTCAGTGAAAATTAATTCCAGCTAAAATAAATTATTTTACAGTATATAGACCATATGGTATAAGTGAAAGGCTGTTGCATATTAATTGGCTAATTTTTAGCAAATCAGATATTCAAAGTTGTTTAAATTTCAGTCAAGATTGAGGACCTATGAATCAAGTTTCTTTGAAATCTGTTCAGTGGTTCTTGAAATACATTTATCGATGAAAGTTATGCAAATTAGGCAATTAACTCAGAACTGTGCTTCACACAATAATTATGCCAATAATGCAACTTAGTATACTATAGATAGCTCACTAAAAATAAATCTGTCACCACTAGGTGGCGCTCACACATCACTAGAGGGCACTCTGCTCCAGTTCAGAGACAATGCTGGTTTGATGGAATCATAGAAGAGTTTATTTTCAGACCAGGAGATATGAACAAATACTACATAATCTAGTTAATTACGTCAAATTTGAATTTGGTTGAGAATATTAATATTGTTATTAATTTTGGAGTTATTATCGTTATATTTGTAGTTACAGTGATAACGCTGATATATCTTCTATACAGATAAAAAAACAATGTTGGCATATTAGGAGATTAAATCTGAAATTAATTTGAATTTTAACTACTTAAGGGATTACCATGCTGATATTATTAATAAAAAGGATCAATAAAATAATCCAATGATAATGGACAAATTACAGGCATTATGATTAGAAAATACACGTATAGATATACATGCAAAATTAAAATTGACGCGAGTTCCTGTCATTTTGAACTTTTTAACAGAAGGTCGCAGCATCAAGAGATACACATCAAATGTTGATCAGCACTGGTTGACTACTTCAATCACTATCATTATTTTAAAACAAGAATAAAGGTACTGGAGTCAAACAGCGTAATAAAAAGAAATCCCGAAATATAATACTGGTATCAGCTTGCGTATATACCAAGTAGTGCAGTAAAAATTGTCTCATTAAACTAGAATATGTGGGAAAACCTATCGAAAACGTTGTTCACAGTCCCTTCCCTGTGGACTATATGTTATAGTCGAGTACTCTGTATATATGGCTCTGATTTGCCACTCTATATTATTGTGTGGTTACACTTTAAGTATTATTCCATTGGGAGACGAGGACTACAATAAAGGCATCCAGACTGCATGACCACAACCAAAAAAACATGTACAGCTTTATTTTAATATTTTTTTTTTTTTTAAACAAACTGACCAGACACTTTTGTTCCTTGACCTCATCTGTTGGGAATTCAGGAAAAACTCCCTTAGGGTAACATGCGTCACCTTTTTGTCTAAACATGCAATTATATTATGCTAAAAAAATCTCAAAAATAAAAAATTTGAAAATCTTTGGCTAATTTTTTTTCAAAACAAAGAAATGACATAAATTATTTCAACCAAAAATCAAGTATGAAGCCACCAGTACAAAAATTTTCCAAAAACATTCTTGCTTGAAAAATTACCTTCACATGAATTAATTTCAAGCTAAACCCCCCCCCCCCTCTGCCCGAGCATATTACCCCATCCCTATACGTGACAGCCGCAAAATACAGTAGTCAAGCGTATAACACGAAGACCGTACACAGGGTTGGGTCATATGCAAATTGAGTTGGGTGACTCTAAGTTAATTTAGTAAGTTCCACCGCCATTGTGCATATCCATCCAAAGATCACACATTGATTGCATATAGCTAGCCCCCAAGACAACAATAGTTTTTCTTCTAACAATAGGGGTATTGTTATGATGAGAATACATTTCAACATTCGCGAACCGTCTGCCAAGACGCTCTTAAAAAGTTTCACTTTTCATACAATTAAACTAAATAGGTCAGTGGAAATTATATAAAAGTAAAAAAACAAGAATAGTTTTTAAATCTGTAAAGATATTTCAAACAAATAAGCTGTGGCTTAGTTAACGTAACTATATAGCACCCTTAGTTACGGTGATACAAAGGCCTTAGTTACAGGTTTTTTTTTCAGCTAGTCATATACAAAAGATGGCATTCAGTTCAGAAGATGAAAGCTGGGGTGTATGTCAAGCCTGTTTAAAAATCACAACGAATAGATAAACGACACTCATGAACGTGACAGATATCACTTTGTGCACTAAATGCCTACTTTGAAATCATTTTTTGACAGGGGAGGCAGATTCATGAGAGAATTATGGGTAAACCAGTAAGATATCGACAACTACATTGTATTTTTTTGTAAACTGAACAAATTTAGATAGAACACACATGCATTTAATTAATTAATGACTATTTTGAACTAATTAGTCAAAACCAAGATTCCATTTATATTGAAACATTATGATTACAACATAAACAATTAGAAAACTGTGTTTATGAAAAAAGACTGCATTTCATTTCATAAAATGCCTACTAGATTTGCGCGATATTAATGTTGCTATGGCAACCAAGAGTAAACCATGCCAGGTCCGAGTGTGGAACAGACCTTTGTTTTTTCTGGTCTGCATTAACACTATTTCAGCAACGCGTGCAATTGTACAATAATATTATCGATTAATTTTGCTGTTCGGACAAAAGAGACTTTTATCGTAAAATCTCAATTCGTAGCAACAGCGGAGGGCCAGTGATTTTTGTGAACTGTTTCGGTGATAGCAGTATTCTAGAAAACGAGGACATAACCCACGGTCGCCAGCGAAAACAATTTTTTATTCGTATCACCACTGCTATAGAAGGAATTTTTTTCGAGTCATTGTTCGGCACACAGCTAAAGCTAGATTATTATTATTATTATTATTAAACCATTTATAAAATGTTCATGAATTAATAGCCGTATTTTTTAAGTAGCTAATGCAATACGCCGCCACGAATATTGTAATACAACACATTTTGCGGTGTCCGCCATAATTGTATCGGATATTTACAAAAAAAAATCGTGCAATATACAACGCCAATATATACAGTGCATCGTTAGTAAAACCACAATTTTTCCGGTAATTAATACCATTTTTTATTGAGAGCTCATCTGGTTTTAGTACACGGCGTGTCAGTGGCGTAACGGGACAGTTAAGATTTTAACGAGTGAAGGACTTACCAGTGACGATCATGTCATAGTGCGGTGAGCTGAATCGCGATGACGTCCCAATATACGAAGCGTGTGAGGGGTTGTTTGTCCTCAAATGATAGTTCTGTTTTGCATGTGGGCTTGATGCCCCGCGTTTATTTAAGGGGAGCGGGGGTAGCCTCCGATTGCCGACTTGTCTTGCTGGACTTGACATGATTGTAAACGGCGGCGAACTCAACAAAATTCACAATGATTAGCTGCCAGCGTCGGTTGTCTTGACTCAGATCCGTTGTTGAACGGCGTTCGGATTCATGTTTTCTGTTTTACTCACATGGCGAACCGCACGTCGAATCAGACCATGTTTTGGAGGACAGCTGGGTATTACGGTGTATTCAGATTCCTCCGAGTGTCAATCGGCTTCACTAACGTTCGAAGTGACCTCCTTTACCGTCTGTACGCTGATTGTAGTATATTTCCACACTGCATTGACAACACACTAGCACGCCCACCACAACTACAGCCTTGGATCTTTCACGTGTTGTTGTTGCCAACTAACAGTCTTCAATTCAGGTTCCCCAGATATCGAAAAATCTGTTAATTACGATAAAACGAGAACGATTTCAAGTAGCGTGAAACGTTAAACCAGCGACGACTTGTAACGGTTTAGGCTTATATTGTTAGAAAAATTACGTTTTCTGGTGACCTTCTCCCAAAGTGTTTAACTGGAGAAAGATGACATTCAACAATCGTTCTTGTACGTATAGCGGGGACAGTGACGGCGGACGATACCACTATGATAAAACAGGGGGTGAGAAATGAAGCGTGAATAAAACATACGAGAAAAATGTTTACCCATAGTTGGAATTGGTTTACTTTACGTTTGAATAGCGGAGCTGACAATAGAAACACAAATATGTTCTCACAAACACAGATAATCCATCAAAATGTCTAAGTCGCAAACGAACGGGCACGACCGCCAAATAAACGCATTTGTATAACCCAGTGCCATGATTGGTTGCACGGCCCGGCTAAAAAGTCAATAACTGTGAAATAATAAAACTGAACAGACCAACTGAATAAATGATTATTTCCTTTTTTATGTAACGATAACGCGACATAACGGCATATAATAGTAAAGACGTGTTTAGTATTAACAAAATAGGAACGCACAGTTTGTGTTACGATCTTCTTGTGAATATATTAACAACGCGGCTAAATAGGGGAGACAACGTGATTGATTCATTATAACCAAGTTACCAGAGATGGCGTGAATAGACACGTCTTCACTACACATTTTGATTGGTGGTGCTTTCAAATGAAGTATTTTGTAACGCTCCATGAACGGGCATGTCATGCAGCCTTAGTTATTTTAGCGAAATATAAAAACAAAGGCACTATTTTTTCCCGTGATTTGTCACAACTAAAATGTACACAGTTATTACGTGTTCGGTTTTCGTCACCAGCTGCTGTACCTGGCGTGGAAGTGCGACTATACCATAGCATAGAACATCTTATCAGTCAACAACTAGAGGGTGCCGCATACTCGAGCTAAAACGCAACTTGTTGAAGCCAACAACGCTCTTGTTTTGTTCCATATTGCGATACAGGTACCTTGTTGAAACCCCGGCTATGACTTCATCAAACAAAACTTTTTAAATATAACCCACTGGCGTTTCGCAATAAGCGGGATATTGAATGATGGAGACCTAGCCCGCAAGCAAAGAACATTGCCATACATCATTCTGGCTAGTAGATTAAATCGCGGCAGCTCAATCATTGCGCAACTAGCGGCAGGCATTTCGAGGAGCAGTGATTGCGGCCGGCGCCAGCTGACTGACAGTCACGCATAAGTAATTAGCCTAAAAATATGATAGCGGTGTTTTTTTTTGTTTTTTGTTTTTTTTTTAATATTCGGGACCAGAATAACGTGACATGAGGTCTTCGTCAATTTGTGTGTGTTAGCACACATATGACACCGGTGATGTGTTCATACGGTAGTGACATTGAACTTAATTTGTGGGAGTGATTCTTGTGCTGCAGATAAGGGGGATGCTTCGTGTATTTCCGTGGCAGTGTTTCTAAGACTGTCGTCGCTCCGTGTATTGCCGATGTGTACTGCCAGGAGTAATGAAGACACAGTTAATATCAAACACGCATCTGCCGTAACGATTTAATCAACTCAAATGCACTTATAATTGGTTTATAATTGTATTTATCATGTGACCACGACTCATATTTGGTTTCCTTAGTAACGCGACCGCTGTGTAGTTGGGTAAAAGGAACACTGAAATCATTCAACGGAAATTCAACGAAAAAACACGATGAATAAGCATAAACGCGTTAAAGCGCAGTGGTCGTCGCGCAGAGCGTGTTCGAATTTCATGTAAACAAACAATGTATTTTACACGCTTTGTATACATCGCTATGAGTCCCATATCGAACAGGACGCGACACGACTACCACCGCACTTTAACTAACAATATTCCTCACATTAGTGCGAAATCTCTGTCGTAAGATAATGCATTATGAATGCACTGATACCCATCTTTCGCCCAGGGAAATGTGTACGCCCACTTCTGCCGTCAACCATGGCCTACACACATTCAATGTATAACCATAAATTAGACGGTATGTCACATATTTTATTAGTTCTTGTCATCAAGTACGCCATCGGTACAGTAATTATTATAGTATAATATTGTCGCCACAATATAATTGTTTGGGCCCAAAGTCCAATAAAAATCTACTTATATTCAATTATTATCTTATAACGGACACTGTAAATACAAAAAGTAAATACATAAATATCGTTTTAAACCCACTACAATTTCTTGATATTTTGCTGAAGGTACCGGAACTTCAAGATGTTTCAAGATGTTTCCATTTTTTTTAATTGATCGGAATATAAATGTGGTTCATAATTCGTTGTTAACGTCGAAATTTGTCACATGGAATAATTGTGTCGAAAATGTTCTTAATTTCAAGGGTCAACTTGAAATGTTCTATGTAGGATAAAAAAAAAAAAAAAAAAAAAAAACTTAAAGAGCGGTGGTCGTCGCGCCGCTCATGTGCGACATTAGTTTTCCCATAGTCCAATGCGCTCTTCTTATGAAAATCACGAGTAGACAGAGCTTCGATCTGGACGCCACGTGCACCAATTCGCGCCGGTGACTATTTCGATACCTTCCAATCACTAAGAAAATTACACAGTTAAATCCTAGTAACGTCTCAGTTTGTATTCGTTGGTCTGGGCAACAGTCAAAATCGCCATCTTTGTTCATATGAGTCTCATATCTCGCGCATGCGTGGCGCGACGACCACCGCGCTTTAGCATCCCTAGTTAACCTCTGACCCCTTCCTATGACAGTATATGTTCATATTGTGCAGTATCGTGAGAAGTTAAATAAGCTTCTACCTAAATTAAGTTAGTTCAAGCCCATATGTTCACCAAACTTTCATTTTTAGGATTCATGCCATCAGGATACCAACAAAGAAAAAATGGCGTTACCCCGCAATTTTCAAGTGTTAAAAATGTCCGAATAAATAGTAAAAACAGGCATTTTCACATTAGTTTCTGTGTTGAGATTATTCAGATCTCAAAATTTTTATCGATGACATGGGATGAAAAAATCATATTATTATTGTCACGAATCCTAATATTGTGGAAACTTTTAAAAGTTGTTATTTAGTGAGTTTTCAGGGTGATAATATTTGTATACATTGACAGGTTATCTCCCACAATGCATTGCATATACCAAAATTAATATAAAAACTTGGCTGAATGTCTTTGATCATGTTATTAGGCCTATATTAACATGTGGCTGTGAGATTTGGGGGATAGAAAAGTATACAGACAAAACAGTCATCGAAAAAATTAACATAAAATTGTGCAAACTACTCCTCCAAGTTAACCAGTCTGCAACAAATTTGGCTGTAAGAGGAGAACTGGGTAGACATCCACTGTTAGTATTTATTAATAAAATGATGATAACATACTGGCATAGATCATGCACTGTGAAAGAAAACACTCTAATTCACGAGGCAATGTCCTACAATATCGACAACAAAACAAAGTGGGCAACAACAATCAGTCAAATAACTGGTGTTGATAATATACATGATTACTGGAAGGGGAATGGTAAAAGTGTGAAGGGAGTTTTGGAAAAAATAGAAGATGATTATTCAAAAAAGTGGAAGAGTGACATCAATTTAGAAAAATCTGATTCAGGAGAGCTCAACAAACTTCGCACCTACAGGAAGTTTAATACAAACTTCAAAATGGAAAAGTATTTGATGGATGTGAATAATTCAAAATATAGAAAATATATTTGTAAATTAAAAATTAGTGTCCATCAGCTTATGATTGAGAAATGAAGGTATACTAGAACAAAAACAAAACTGGAACACAGAATCTGCACAAGATGTGACAATAACTCAGTTGAGGATGAGTACCAATACATTATGGACTGCTCACAGCACAATAAAATGAGGCAGACACTTTTAAAGATTTACATAAGGATAATCCTAATTTTACTTCAATGGATCATTCCGATAAATTTATTTACATTATGACAAACTGACACATTAAGCTTGGTGTGTTTATAATGCAAACAGGTGTGTATTTATAAAACACCTGATTCTGTACTACCTTGTAATTGCCTTTTAATTAATCTGCTATTTTATTTTATTTACTTTTTTTGTACTGAGTTTTTTGATTATCCTTTTTATCTTTTTTTATTTTACTTGACTATGTTCATCTTCTATAGAAAGAATAATGTCAATAAAGTTATCTTATCTTATCTGATCTTATCTTATATGTGCAGTAACAAGAACAGTAGTGAAAAATATGAATTCGGCTCGAACGGCTTTAAGAATTTACCAGAATATTTTCTAAGTTTACAGAGTGTCCATATTATGTAAACTATTTCTATGTTATATGTCTCCTTGTTTCTCAGAATCTCAAATTTATCATAAATACTTATGGCTCCAAAATATTTCGCCTTGATCCGACTAAAATATCATTATCTTTCCTAAGATAAGAACGTATTTAGGATAAAACCATTATTTTTCACATTGAGTTTATGCGGCAGGGTACCAATCACAGCCAACGTACTAAAACTAGTATGAGTTTATGCGGCAGAGTACCAATCACAGCCAACGTACTAAACTAGTGAGGTTTACAAATATACAATCTGATTAGGTACACGCTCCATT